TCTTTTGCTCCTCTGATGCTGCTTGGCCTGCTGTGTTCATCCAGCTCTACACCGTGTTATCTCAGATTCTCCAGCATCGGCAGTTCCTACTATCTCTGAGTCAATTTATCACCAGGAATGCTTTGAGTTGTCAGTTCTGTCATGGACTGGTTAAAGTTACTAGACTAGTGATCATTCGGAGTTCTGACCCCACGATGACAGCTTCTAAGTCTCATTTCTAACAAACCTGGTCATTTGGAGGCTAGTGTAAGAAAAAATGATCCTGAAAGTTGCCAAATTGCTGTGAATATGGAACTGCCTCACCTCAGGGAGTGGATTTTTGCCCCTTTCCTGGTTTTGGATGATGAGTGACTCCAAATCCACATTATATGTTGGCACTTTAGTGCCCTCTAAATTGGCAGAACAACACACACAGTTGCTAAGCCATTTACCACCATTGGGGGTACCCTGGGAAATGTAGCCTTCTCAAGATCCTGAGAATGTTTGCTGTTACACTTTACAGAACAAAGACAGGAGAAACTCAGCAGGTCTGGCAGCATCTGTGGAGAGAGAAAACAGACTTAATGTTTTAGGTCTGGTTCTTCAGTCCTGCTCAACATTGTCTCTGCTTTCTGTCCACAGTTGCTGCCAGACCTGCTGAGTTTCTCCAGTAATTTCTTATTTTTGTTGCTGCAGTTTTTTTTGTTTGGCTAGTGTTATGCTTTAGGGAGCTATTACAGTAACTTGTTTAGTGGTGACATAACTTTAATGTCAATGAGCTACAATCCAGAACCCTAGGCTAATGCTTTGGAACTGGGTTCAAATCCCACCATGGCATCCTAATGGTGACCACTGTCAATTGTAGTAAAAAAACCCATCTGGTTCACCAATTCCTTTAGGGAAGGAAACTGCCATCCTTACCTGGTCTGGCCTACATGTGACTCCAGACCCACAGCAATGTGGTTGACTCTTAACTGCCTTCTGGGCAATACATATTGGCCTAATCAGTGACGCCCATGTGCCATGAAAGAATATAAAACAATCCTATTTCCTTTAGATGAAAAGACTGTGCTGCTCTATACCTATTATTTAATTTATATTCCATGATAATTGCACCCCTGGATTAGCAATGAATATGGTTGGAAAGTCTTTACAATTTCTCATTGTTGTCTTGAGGGCTTTAATCTGATCAACCCAGTCACTCTTCACTGAAGAAACAGAGCAGAGCTCCCTGACATTTCTCTCATCAATTCCCGATACCCAGCAATATTTCTGTTGTTCTTGTTGTACACATCCAAAGTTGTTTTTAAGTTAGGAGCAGAGATTTTATTTTAGTCTAAAATGGGTAAATAATTCAGACCTCCATAATCTGTTCCTCCAACAGACAATAACATCTATACTGCCACGCTGTATGGATTCCATGGCGCACAGGCAGATATAAAGAGGAACTTCCAAAAACGCTCCCTCAGAATGGATGATTCTCTCCCTTACTCACTGAACGGTAAGGAAAATTATTCACTTCTTCAGTTGTAATCCGCCTGAGATAAATTGCTCTGGAGTGAAGTTGAAAGCTCTCATTTTTAACCCCGAGATAACTCTCAGGCTCCTCTTCCCCATGTTTGTAAAAGCAGACTTGGGCTGAGCTGGGAGACCACACCTTAGGAAGGATATATTGGCCTTGGAGCACAACAAAGGTTTACAAGAATGATAGCTGAACGTCAGGGGTTAAGTTATGAGGAGAGATTACACAAATTAGGCCTGTTTTCTTCAGAACTTAGAAGGTTACGGGGAGATCTGATGAAAGTATTTAAGATATTAACAGGAAAAGACAGGGTAGATAGAAACTATTTCCATTGGTTGGGGATTCTAGAAATAGGGGCATAGCCTGAGAATTAGGGCCAGACCATTCAGGAGAGACATTAGGAAGCACTTCTACGCACAAAGGGTGGGAGAGGTTTGGAACTCTCTTCCACAAACAGCAATGGATGCTCGATCAGTTGTTAATTTTATATCTGAGACCGATAGATTTTTGTTAAGCAAAGGTATTAAGGGATTATGGGCCAAAGGCAGGTATATGAAGTTTGGCCACAGATCAGCCATGATCTTATTGAATGGCGGAACAGGCTCGAGGGGCTGAATGGCCTACTGTTGTTCCTGGATTTCTGGAAGCTGACGGGTTTATTACGAATCAGTAAAGCTGGCTCAATCTGTCTGCTGGTCATTGGCTCGCTTGAGAAGGAAATCTGACGTTCTTCTCAGGTCAGGCCTACATGGGACCAATGATTGACCATAAACTGCTGTGTGGAGTAGCCCAGTAAACCACTGAAGGACAACTGGGGCTGGATAATAATGGCCGGTCATGACCACAGTTTAAGACGGAATGTTGGAATTAAATGGCTCCATGTTTACGAAGCAAACTTTCTTGTTGTCACTTGGAGTGCAAAGTTCAAGGGCCCGAGGAATTGAAATTAAAGCAGAATGCTGAATAAGGAATCAGTCAGCCCCTGAATCGGGGGCGGGGGGGGAGATGGGCTAACTTCAATCTTTCCTTCTTTTCTCTAACCTTCCTCCCCTCATCCCCACCCCCAAAGCTTTTCAAAACGTTTGTGGAGCGTTCAGTTTTGGTGCCTTTATCTGTGTCAGCTTGTCATGAATCTCTTCTGTACCCCACAGTGCAGTGGGTGCCCTATTGTTGAATATATTTATAAATTTAAGGAGGAACAGACAGATTTTTAATTAGTAACGGGTTGAAGGGTTGTGGAGAACGGGCAGGAAAGTGCAGTTGAAGCCAAGATGAGATCAGCCATGACCGTGTTAAATAGTGGAACAGGCTGAAGGGGCTAAATGGCCAACTCCTGTCACAGTTCTTAACGTTGTCACACATAAGGTCATGATAGACAGATTTTTAGACTCTCGGGTAATCTAAATATTGGGGAGCAGTCAGGAAAATGGCCAAGATCCTGTTGAGAGCTAGAAGGGGATGGATGGGACAAAGTGCCTTGATGAGCTTGACTCATTGCTGTGTCCTTCTTTGTAGATGTAACCTTTATTGATTCGGTCTTGGTGACGGAAAGTGTCAACAGCTCGGTGGGAGATGACGACAAGATTTACTTCTTTTTCACGGAGAAACTGAGCGAAGAGAATGCATTTGACGGGAAGCCATTGGTCACGAGAGTGGCTCGTGTCTGTAAGGTAAGAGGATTTCAGAGCTGTGTGTGTGCGCGAGTGTGAGTGAGTGTGTGAGAGTGAGTGTGTGAGAGAGTGTAAGTGAGTGTGAGTATGTGAATGAGAGAGATACAGCCCTTAATGAATTCTGTCTGTGAAACATACAGGCCAAAAGGTTCTTGTGGATGCAAGTGAGATACAGAGCTGAATCCCACATGTTTGTTTCCATTGGCAGAACTGCAAAGTAGCAGTGTTAATTAGCAAATTAACTTCACTCATTGAGTAAGATAAAAAGGTTCGTGCGAGGGCTTTCTTACAGGTCAAAAGTAAAGTCAACCTGGTCTTACCTCATGAGGGAAAGAGAGATGACTGGAAAAGCTCAGCAGGTCTAGTAGCATCTGTGAAGGAGAAAACAGAGTTAACGTTTCGGGTCCGATGACCCTTCCTCAGAACTGATGGTAGGTGGGAAAACGTCAGTTTATATGCAGAAAATAGGGAGGTGGGTGGGGTAGGGAGTAAACGATAGGATAGAGCTCAAAGACAGAGAAAGACAGTTGGACAGACAAAGGAGTTGCTAACGATCAGGCTGGGAGGGTGAATATTAACAACTATTCACCCTCCCAGTGATAGTAGGAGCTGCCGATGCTGGAGAATCCGAGACAACAAGGTGTAGAGCTGGATGAACACAGCAGGCCAAGCAGCATCATAGGAGCAGAAATGATCGTTAGCAACTCCTCTGTCTGTCCAACTGTCTTTCTCTCTCTTTGGGCTCTATCCTATCGTTTACTCCCTACCCCACCCACCTCCCTATTTTCTGCATGTAAACTGATGTTTTCCCAGCCACCATCAGTTCTGAGGAAGGGTCACCGGACCCGAAACGTTAACTCTGTTTTCTCCTTCACAGATGCTGCCAGACCTGCTGAGCTTTTCTAGCAACTTTGGTTTTGTCCCTGATTTACAGCATCCGCAGTTGTTTTGGTTTTTATTTAGAGAGAGATGACTGGTGGGTGTTTAACCTGAGGGTCACCACACCTCAGGCCAGGGGGAGAGGATGAGAAGGAGGAGGGTCCTCCATGGTAACCCCAGCTGGTGTGGGTATTGAACCCGTGTCATTGATGTTACTCTGCATCACAAACCAGCATCCAGCCAACTGAGCTAAACTGACCATAAATAACCCTAAGGAGCTGCGGCTGCTGGAAATCCGAAACAAAAACAGAAATTGCTGGAGAAACGCCGAACTGAAGAGGGGTCACTGGACCCGAAATGTAAACTCTGTTTCTCTCTCCACAGATGTTGCCAGAGCTGCTGAGTTTCTCCAGCAGTTGTTGGTTTTGTGAGCTAACCTGACCCCTATCTTACTTTTACTGTCATCCAGGAATCATAGAATGCAGCCTGTTATAGAACATAGAACATAGAACATTACAGCGCAGTACAGGCCCTTCGGCCCTCGATGTTGCGCCGACCTGTGAAACCAATCTGAAGCCCATCTAACCTAAACTATTCCATTATCATCCATATGTTTATCCAATGACCATTTAAATGCCCTTAAAGTGGGCGAGTCTACTACTGTTGCAGGCAGGGCATTCCACGCCCTTACTACTCTCTGAGTAAAGAACCTACCTCTGACATCTGTCCTATATCTATCACCCCTCAATTTAAAGCTATGTCCCCTCGTGCTAGCCATCACCATCCGAGGAAAAAGGCTCCCGCTGTCCACCCTATCTAATTCTCATGGCACATTGACCATGTTATTGGGTTTACCGTATTTCTTGCTGGCAAGGAATATTCATGGATCATTGCATTCAGAAGGACAGTGCAGTATTGTGCAGTTCTCGGTGTTCACAAACAGTTTTGCTGTGTCAGCTGGTGTGAGCATTGCTATGTAAGGGAGTATATCAGAATAGCTCACTAAAGAGGCAGGTATGCTTGTGGTGGTGGGAAAGGATTCTCCCTTGTTCCCCTGCTTTCTGCTTCTATCCTTCTTGTCATTATTTCAATTGTAATACCTCCGAAGCTAAATTGTTAGTCATAGAGATGTACAGCACGGAAACAGACCCTTCGGTCCAACTCGTCCATGCTGATCAGATATCCTAAATTAATCTAGTCCCATTTGTCACCATTCATCCCATATCCCTCTAAACCCTTCCTATTCAGATACCCATCCAGATGCCTTTTAAATGTTGTAATTGTACCAGCCTCTACCACTTCCTCTGGCAGCTCATTCCACACACGCACCACCCTCTTGTGTGGAAATACCCTCAATGCTTTGTAATTCCTCACTTCCCTCAGTGTTTCTTCACCCTGGGATTGATCTAACACTGAGAGACAGAATACTAGCAGTGGGAAGGCCACTGAAGACTGAGATGAGGAGAAATGTCCTTACCCAGAGAGTGGTGAGCCTGGGGAATTCTCTACCACAGAAAGTGGTTGAGGCCAAAACATTGAATGTTTTCAAGAAGGAGAAAGATATAGTTCTGGAGTTATAATGTTATACAGCACGGAAACAGACCCTTCGGTCCTACTCGTCCATACTGACCAGACATCCCAATCTGACTTAGTCCCATTTGCTAGCATTTGGCCCATATCCCTCTAAAATACTAGAGGAATTAAAGTGTATGGAGAACAATTGAGAACAAGGACTGTTTTGGACAATCAGCCAGGATCATATTGAATGGTAGAGCAGGCGTGAAGGGCTGAATGGCCTACTCCTGCTGCTATTCTCTCAGTCTTAATTGTTTAGGAATTGGATACCAGAGTGGATGGGTGCCTGGGGGCTATTTCTATCTGGAACGATTAGCTTCACTGGGCTTGATGGTCATTCTACTGGTGTCCTATTTTGCCACCTACAGACCATGGACTTAATTCTGTCATAAAATAAATCAAAGAATTGCAGATGCTTGAAATCTGAAACACAAACAGAAAGTGCTGAAGAAACTCAGCAGGTCTGGTGGCATCTTTGGAAAGAAAAATAGAGTTACGTTTTGAGCCCAGGGATCCTTGAAAAACACACATACACACAAACATACACCAGATAATGGGAAAAGTTGATTTCTCTCTAGAATACTTTAGTTTGGAGGAAAATACAGCTTGAGTGAATAATAATTGGTTCTTGGCAGGCTTAAAAAAAGGATAAGTTGGATTGTTTCAGGTGTTTTAATTAATGGTCAGTGGGCACATGCAGTTGTCACTGGGGTCTTGGCAGACACAGTTTGCTTTAGGAGACTAGTATTGAGGAGTCCTCCAGATGCTCTCCAAGAGGACCATGTGGGGTTCAGACTAGACCCACAGCAAAGATATTCCAGAAAGGCAGAGAGGTGAACTGGGCAGCCTTTCCCTCAGAAGCTTTATTTTTCTAACTAAACAATAAACAAGACAGCCATAAGGCATGGTGGCTCAGTGGTTAGCACTGCTGCTTCACAGTGCCAGGGACCGGGGTTTGATTCCAGCCTTGGATGATTGCATGGTGCTGCGGTTTCCTCCCACAGTCCAAAGATGTGCAGGTTAGGATGGATTGACCGTGGGAAATTATCCATAGTGTCCAGGGGTGTGCAGGCTGGGTGGATTAGCCATAGGAAATGCAGGACTTATGGGGAGGGGAGTGGGTCTGGGTGGGATGCTCTTCAGAGGGGTGGTGTGGACTTACTGGGCCGAATGGCCTGTTTCCACACTGTAGGGATTCTAGGATAAAACTGAAACAGGCAATTTCTAAGAAGAGTCCATGAAATTAGTAATTTACCAGAAGTATCTTTTTAAAATAATTCCTGTATTGACCATTTTTAAAAAAAAATTATCCATAGAACTTGGAATAAATCCATTTTTCTAAGATCCATCAAAACGCGTCTTCAAAAAAAAAGCCTTTGTAACGGGTCTGCGAGCTCAATGTGTTCCTACGACATTGCATTGCCCAGTCTAATAAGAGAGGCACAAACGCATGAAATGGCAATGCTTTGGAAATGGGGATGGGCGAGGAATACTGAATCCACTTCAGGATAATCCATGATTTTAGCGATGGAAAGGGATCGGTATATACCGCAGGGCAAGAGTTATAGCTGGGGGAAAGGCAATTAT